AATAATACAATCAATAACTTTGGTTTAACTGACATGTATAGAATATTTTATCCTTCAATGAATGAGTACACTTTTTTCTCAGCAGCAAGCACATGGATCCTTCTCTAAAATAGACCATATATTATGTCACAAAGCAACTCTTAGAAAATATTTAAAAAGTAGACACACTACCCTGCATTCTATCAGATCAATTAAAAATTAACGATAAAAAAGAAATAAAAGCTACTCCAATACCTGGAGACTAAATAATATGCTACTGAGTGAACAATGAGTAGCAGAAGACATCAAGGAGGAGATTAAAAAAAATTTAGAGGTGAATGAGAACACAGATACAACATATTGAAATCTCTGGGACAATATGAAGGCAGTACTAAGAGGAAAGTTCATGGCATAGAGTTCATTCTTTAAAAGAAGAAAAAGTCAACAAATAAATGACTTAATATTATATCTCAAAGCCCTAGAAAAAGAAGAACAAATCAACACCAAAAGCAGTAGAAGACWGGAAATAATTGAAAATCAGAGCTAAAATCAATGAAATTRAAATAAAGGGAACAATTGAAAAATTGACAAAACAAAAAAGTGGGTTCTTTGAAAAAAATAAATAAAACTGACAAACCCTTAGCCATGTTAATGAAGAGAAGGAAAGAGAAAACACAAATTAGTAACATCCGTGATAGAAAAGGAAATATCACAACAGGCACTACAGAAATACAGAAGATAATTAGAAATTATTTTGAAAATTGTACTCCAATAAAATAGAGAATACCAAAGGCATCCACAAATTTCGAGAGGCACATGAGTTGCCCAAATTGAATCAGGATGATATACACAATTTAAACGATCAATTTCAAGTGATGAAATAGAAGATGCCGTCAGAAGGCTACCAACCAAGAAAAGCCCAGGACTGGAGAGATACATAGCCGAGTTTTATAGCACCTTTAAAGAAAAACTAATACCAATACTCTTCAATTTATTTCAGTAAATAGAAAAAATTTTAGTAAAATTCTGGCAAATCAAATACAAATACGTATTAAAAAGATAGTGCACCACAACAAAGTAGGATTCATCCCAGGGATGCAAGGTTGGTTCAACATATGGAACCCAATAAATGTAATTTATCACATCAATATACTTAAGTATAAGAATCATATGATCATCTCAATAGATGTAGAAGAAAAAGCATTCAACAAAACACAGCACCCCTTAATGTTCAAAACACTAGAAAAACTAGAGATAACAGGATCATATCTCAACTTTGTAAAGGCTATCGATGCTAACCCCCCAGGCAAACATCATTCTAAATGGAGAGAAATTGAAAGCATTCCCTCTAAAAACTGGAGCAAGACAGACATGCCCTCTGTCACCACTCCTATTTAACATAGTTCTTGATTTTAATTCTTGAGCTATATGCAATGTTGAGATATGATCCTGTTTAAGGTCTGGTATAGTTATACCACCTACTTAACTCTTCTTGCTAAGGATTGCTTTAGCTATTCTGGGCCTCTTTTTTTTTTTTTTCCAGAAGAATTTCATGAATACTTTTTCTATTTCTGGGAGGAATATCATTGGAATTTTGTTTGAAATTTCATTAAATTTGTACAATGCTTTTGGTAGTCTGGTCATTTTGACAATATTAATTCTGCCTATCCAAGAACAAGGAAGATCTTTCTATCTTCTAAGGTCTTCTTTAATTTCTTTCTTTAGCGTCTGTATTTTTTGTTGTAGAGTTTTCTCACCTCTTTTGTTAGGTTGATTYTATAGCTCAAGAATTAAAATCAAGAATAAATGGGATGGATTCAAACTAGAAAGCTTCTTATCAGCAAAAGAAACAACCAGTGAAGTGAATAGAGAGCCTACATCTTGGGAGCAAATTTTTACCCGCTCACATCAGTTAGAACACTAATCTCTAGGGTATATGAAAAACTCAAAAAGCTAAACACCAAAAAAACCCCCCAAATAACCCAATTAATAAATGGGCCAAAGAAATGAACTTCTCAGAAGATGATATACAAGCAATCAACAAATATAAGAAAAGCTGTTCAACATCTCTAGCAACTAGAGTAATATAAATCAAAGCTACTATAAGATTTCATTTCATTCCAGTCAGAATGGCAGCTATTAAGAATACAAACAACAATTGCTGGTGGGATGTGGGGAAAAAGGCACACTCCGTACTTTGCTGCTGGGACTGCAAACTGGTGCAGCCAATATGGAAAATAGTATGAAGATTCCTTGGAAAACTGGGAATGGAACCACCATTTAACCTAGCTATCCCACTCCTTAGTCCATACTCAAAGGACTTAAAAAGAGCAAACTACAGGGACACAGCCACATCAATGCTTATAGCAGCACAATTCACAATAGCTAAATTGTGGAACCAGCCTAGATGCCCGTAGGTAGATGAATGGATAAAGAAAATGTGGTATATATACACAATGGAATATTACTTAGCAAGAGAATAAAATCATGGTATTTGCAGGTAAATGGATGGAGTTAGAGTATATAATGCTAAATGAAGTTATTCAATCCCCAAATACCAAATGCTGGATTTTTTTCTCTGATATAAGGAGGCTGATTCATAGTGGGGTTGGGAAGGGGAGCATGGGAAAATTAAATGAACTCTAGTAAGGCAAAGGGGAGGGAGGGTAAGGGAATGGGCAAGGGTGGGAAAAGATGGTGGAATGAGATGGACATCATTACCCTAAGTACATGTATGAAGATGCAAATGATGTGAAAATACCTTGTATACAACCAGAGATTTGAAAAATTGTGCTCTATGTGTTTAATATGAATTGTAATACATTCTGATGTCATATGTAACAAATTAGAATTAAAAAATTTTAAAAGGATATATATATATATATAGTATATTTTGTACACTTTTAAAAGATCATATAAAGATCATATGTCAAATCCTTTCCTCCTGACCTCTAGTTTTGTCAAATTTTCTACCATAATAGCAAGTTAACAGAATACAAGTATTTACTTAAAAATAGATTAAGCTAATTTCCAAAGAGTTTTCTATTATAAATGTGTTTTAAGAAATAGAGTGCAGAGCTAAGCACACAAATTTGTGGTCTGTGATGCCTACTTTCCATTAGGTGTACTCATATGAAAATTAGTGATTTCACAACTATCTTATTTAAAAATATGTATGCAGCCAGGTGTGATAGTGCATGCTTATAATACCAACAACTCTGGAGSCTAAGGCAGGATAATGGCACATTCAAKGCCAGCCTCAGCAGATTAGCAAAACCCTGACTCAAAATAAAACAAAAAGAATTCAGGTATGGCTCAGTGGTAGAGTACCCTTGGGTTTAATCCACAGGACTAAACAGATAACATCATAATTTTTACAGATTTAGTAATCTCTCTCTTAGAGACAAAAAGTATAAAAATACATAGTACAGATAAATTGAGGAAAGAAGTGAGAAGATGAAGCAGGATGGTAAGTAAGGAGAAGATAAAATTTAGGGACTTGGGTTCCAATCATAACTTAGATCTATTTTTTTTGCTATGAGGTCTTAGACAAATCACGTAAACTCTCTCAGAACAACATAGATAAGATGGAGATTAATAACATTATCTAGATCAAGAGTAGAATAAGAATTAGGTAATGTGTGGAAAGTGTTAAGCACAGCTCATGCACAGTCTCATAAGGCAACACAGATAATAATAATCAAAATAAAATGTAATCATAATTATACTACTGTGAAAATGTTGTTACTGAGAGTTTAAGCTATGAGATTATTTCCATTTGCACCAACTGGAAGCAAATTTGTCTCTGTAGTTCCTAGCAGCCAAAGTAAGAGTGTAAGTCTATAAATATCAAAATATTTATTTACATAAATACAAAAAGCCTATAATAATTCTTAACTGGGGATTGTAGAATTAATGCATAGGTTGTCTGCCTATAAGTCCTCCAAGTATTTACCTATAGTTCAAAGAATCAGTTGCACATGTGTGTACTTTTATTTTTAAATGCATATATTATGATAATTATAATAATTAATTCATTTGTATTGCTGGGTTCATAATAGCATTTTGCCAGTAAACATCTTATTCATGGACTTACTAAGAATACCATCTGAAAATGAAAAGCATTTTTATTCATTTCTTGTCCTATCGATAAAGTTGAAAAAGTCTAACTTTTGTAAAAGACACTTGGTATTTTTTCCCCCTCATCAGTAACATGACGAATATCCTAGGTCAATGATGTATTTATTAATGTTTTGAAGCAGGACATGCTGTGATATAAATGACATTCTGATTCCATTCCTAACCTCACAAGCATATCTTGTAAAGATTTTGGGGGAAACTATTAAGCCCCCTGAAGGTACTTTTGCATAGGAAATGGGTTCTATGCTAAAACTGTCATGTTTCTGGAGCTTGAATGCCCACATGGTGAATGTTACTGGTTGCCAAAAATAACCAGATAGGTAGTTCATTCCTTCACTTGGTCATTAAATAAATCAATGCTTTTTTTTTTTTCACTTCAGATACTGTATCATTTTGCCAACTCCCACTCTGTTAGACCCAGGCTGAGTTTTATTTTATCATCTCCTAGTTAGAAAAATTATTTATTGTTTTGACAGGATTTCTATTGTTGAAAGTTATAATGGATATTCTAAAGAATTGCTGTATGAATAGTTGAAGATTTTTCTTGCAGGGGAATAATCTTTTAAAAGGCCTACTAGCTTAGTATAACTACTTAAAGGAAGTAAAATGCCATTGCATTTACTTTGAAAGATTTTTTTTTAACTTCCTGCAAAGAGGTCCCTTTACAGTATTTTTGGAGAAGTAAGTAAAACCGAATCTGACATCACCACCCTCTAGTTGCTAGCTCCATGTAGCTGGCAAGTGGTTTGCTCTTAGGGTAGCAGAGGAGGAAATTGCTCCCCGTCTGATAAAACAGCAGTGAAGCGTATGCATCCATTTCTTTTATTTTTGATTCGGGTTTACAGAGAAAATCTTTTAGAGAGATAACCATTACTTTGCCTTTCAGGGGGACGCATGCTGTTTCTTAGGGACACGGCTGATTTGCAGATATGACCATGTATATGTGGCTTAAACTTTTGGCATTTGGCTTTGCCTTTCTGGACACACAAGTGTTTGTTACAGGTAGGTACAAGAATATTCATATTTCCTTAATTGGTTTTTCTTTTCTTTTGGAGAAACATTGATTTGAAATAGATATTAAAAATAAATTGTGTTTTGGGGACTGGGCGTGATAAGTCTGCTATAAAATGGTCAAGATTGTTGTGGCTCCAGGAGACATGGCTTGTTTTGTGACAGAATATATTGTTTCTGTTTAAAAATGTATATGTATTTGGTGTGGGGGAATCACAACTTAAACAAAAAAAAAGCATCTGTTTAGTTACAAACTATTAAGGTATTGTGAAAGCAACCCTGCTACTTACCCCTCACACGGTGATGTGAACACGTGTTGGTGAAAGTCTGAGGAATTGTTTAATGAAAAATAAATGGGTTTTGTTTTTAGCAAAAAATTGAACTGTTTTTAAAAATCCTAAAATGGCTTTGGTTGCATGAGAGCCACTCCCTATTTTCGGATCAGGAGTTTGCTTCCTCAAATTTTATTACTATTGAAACGTCTGAGATATTTTATTGAATACGTAGGTACATGATTGTTCAAAAAATACTCTTAGGTATTTAATGAAACATTGAAGAAGGATGCATTACCACAGGATGCATTTTAAGTCAAACTTTAGTTCCTTGCTAATAATTTTAATGATATTTTGCTTTGGACATTCTTATAGGGCCACCGCCCTCTCTGGGCATCCTAGCCTTGAGGAGGTAGAGGTATTTAAATTTTTAAGAATCATGCAAATGCTATGTCTTACAGAAAAATTCAATGGATTAGGCCTTTGGTCCCTATTTAAGCTTGAGATCTTTGTACAGTTATGATCTACCCAGTGGGTGTTTCTGGAAGATTTTTAGTTTGGGTCATGAATACATTTTGGTTCAATATTAACTGTAACTAATAGATATTTAATATTTCTCCTTATGATGTAGGAAGTTATTATTAAAACATCATTGAAAGTGGCATCTTTGTAGAAATTCCAACCATTTTTTAAATGAAAAGAATGTTCAAAAAATCTTGTTTTGTGAGCTTTTCCCCTTACTCCTTCCCCCTGAAAGTCAGGGCAGCCTGATCGGGTTACATTATCAGTCCATATTTTAAGTAACTAATGACAGTGGAAAGAAAAACACTGTACTTTAAGTTTTTTTTCATTGTAAAGCTGGATTTAAAAAAAATCTTTGTAGGTACAGCATTTCTTGAAGTATGAAACATGCTTGCCAAACTGCCACCCCCGTGAAGTCTCTTTATTATAATCAAAAGCAAAATATAAAAAGCAGTAATTTCATAAGATGATATATGTGTATTTTCATAAATCAGAGGACATTTTCACTAAAAATTCCCTCTCAGAAAATGTTATAAAGCATTTATAAATGAATGTAAAGGAATATGGAAATATTTTGTAGGTCACAGATCAATTCACCATAAGAATTCAAATCAGTTTGTTAAAAATGTTTTTCATCATAAGGAAAATCTTTGAATTCATGATCAAAATAAAAGTATAATAGAATCTGGAAACCTTTAAATCAACTTTTCTAAATAATTTATACTATAAATGGATAGATATACATTGTTCTATTTTAAAAATTCAAGTTAACCTTTAATTGTCACATTAATATTAAAAACAACCATTTTTTTAAAAAGTATTGGGAATCTTATTGAGTATATAAATATTTGGGGAAAACATGTATTAACATAATCCTGTGTCTACAAATTTGTTTAGCATACTTTTAAGTTCCAAGAGATATTTTGTGACTCAATGTATAATTTGGCAGGTTATTGTTTAAATTTTGTATTTTTATTTATTAGCTACAATTCTGTTTTATTTAAATGTGYTATAATTGGTTTAGTGTGTATAGGAAATAATAAACATTGGACAGCAAAATTTACACTTTTTGTTCTAAAGGYATAAAGAAATAGTCAAATGTAGATGAGATATCAATGAATAAATATGCACACAACTCAGATGCTTTATTTAATATCTAAAATGCCATGTGGACAAGGTCAAAGTTAAGATTCGYCAAGGCAAGAACAATGCTGGAATCAGTTTTACACAAAAGTTTTGACTCTCCTTGCATAGTACCTCTAGGCTATGACAATTGAAAAATAGATCCTTGTTTAAAATTTCTAAATAATTCTAGGGAAGAATGATGATTTTGACAGCACAGGTAGAGGTGACTGTTCTCTGGTCATAATGAAGGCATAATGCCAGGCAAATCTACCTCTCCATGGCAGAACAGAACAGTTAAGAGTACTTTGAATTATGCCTTGTGAAATGTGCTATAGGTTTTGTTATGAGTCATAACAGTTGTCTCATTTCCTGGGCATAATTCTTCATTTTCCATCTACGTTAAAAAAAAAATCTCATGTCACAAACACATCCTGTATCTTGCACATCACAGACATTCAATGCAAATTATTAATTGAATTTGATAAGCAATCCTATTAAGTGTTAAATGCAGCTTAAGAGAATCTGGGGTGTGTATAAGATTGCTTAGATGATCTTTTAAAAATATTTCCCTACTAAAAACTTTTCTTATCATTGCTAGATTTTTGTTAAGGGAAGATAAAGTGGGATTGGAGGTCTGTATCTCCTTTCACTCTCTTTCTCTTACATTACTAAACACAGAAACAGAGTAGTTAGCTTAAGCAGGTTTATTTCCCTATTCTTCTTATATCTTTTCATCAGTGGCAAATAAGTAGTGTAAAAACACAAATATTGCTACATTATTCATATACCTATCTACATAAAGATACGAATATATTCTGTGTGAATTATGTTCTATATTCATATATGTGAGTTATATGTGCTATTTGGTATCTGTCTTCAGTCTAACTACTGTTTCTCCATATTTGTCTGCCTTTTAAATTTTGGGGTGCTATAAACTTGGCCAGTTATTATTCTTACTTTCTACAGTCTGGGTTGTTTACTGTTATCTACTATGTACTGTGGTCCTATTTCTCCATGTCTGGATTACTCCTGTAGAAATATGAAACCTACCTCCTTTCCTAAATACAAATATTTAACATGCTTCTCCGCTCCTGAAATTTTGCTTTTAGTAATCTCTAAAATCTTTTCTTTGTTCTAATTCTCCATTGCCATCACCATAATCCATGGCTATATTAGTTTTCACCTGTAACACTGTAAAAATTTCCTAATCCCTCTGTTTTTTTTAAAAATAATAGTTTCCTAATCAGTCTCATCCTTTTCCTGTACATTGTTCAGCTTAAAAATACAATAGAAGGGGGAAATTCAGATATTTTCTCATGGTGTAGTCTCTAATCTTGTAGGCAGAGCAACTGGGTGGGCCATTAAGCTGAGAGTTGGGCATGGAGCTGGTGGTGATCTTTCCTTCCCTTGTCTAAGGATTGAAAGAGAATAAGCAGTTCTTCCACRCTCAAGGCCTCTTTCGCCCTGTGCAAGTCCCATCTCCTCTCTGACATTCTCTTTTGTCACTCTTGCCACGAAATATCTCCACCGAAAGTGGGTCCTTTTACTACCTTTCCTTGGCATTTTTCAAGTACTGTTTTAACGGTTGTGATGATGGTGTTCATATGTCCCTCTGTGGATTCACTGCCATTATAACCTATGTAAATGCAGAAACGATATCTTAAGCTTCTTCATATATTCTATACCTGATTTCTCACCAGATAYTGAGTAAATAGTGAATTTTCTTAATAAATTCATAGATTATAGTCAAGAAGAAGAAGGAAGAGGAAGACAAATCAGACAAATCTCAGAGAGGGTGGTCGAAAGAGAATGTGAGCAGAAAAAAAATTTTTGAAGACTCAAGTGGAAGGGTGGCTTTTGCCTTTTTTTTTTTTTTTTTTTTTGATATTTCCTTGTTTCATCTACTTGTCTCACTTCTTGTCTGGAGAGGTCTCCCTGGCCTCTTTAAAATCCATAGTTTGGAATGTTCCTAAATTTTCTTCCACTGCTTTTTGGACATTTTTGCTAATGTCATAGGGTAGGTCAGCATCATTATTCAAATGTAGGTTCCCATAAGAAGAAAAGGAGGGAGTGGAGATGGAAGAGCTCACGAAGAGAGCTCTTGTGACAGGACAGTACAGTCAAGGCCAGTCCTTGCACATGTTGGTGGGACACTGATACTAGTTCACTGAGACTGTTTTCAAGGGCAGATAAAGATGTGTGAACATGGAGAGTTTGAGGACTAGACAGTGAGATAGTGAACTTCAGTCTGAGGTAAAATCCTGAGACTAATAGTGAGGATGCTGCATTTTGTTGGTGAGCACACAGTGCTAATGAAGACAAAGGCACATGTTCAGAACAGAATGTATTAACTCAATGGGGTACAGAGTAATTTTTCATTACCCTAGACAGTCTTCATAACATTATGAGATTATTTATGCAGGAAAAAATGGAATCAAAATTTAACTTCTGTTTAAATTCAGTTTAGAGTAAATATCTTTGTCAGTACTAGATGCCTTGTCTCACAGCAGTTGCTATTACCAGAGGATTAGTGATATATATGACTTTTACATATGGAAAGAGAGCAGTCTGGAAATGAGAAAGGGAAAAAATGAAATACAGAAGGTTATTTATTTAGTAATATATGATATAGTCATATATGATGTCTACTTCTACATATATATATATATATATACACACATATATGAAAGATAAAGAAGCAATTATACTAATCACTGGATTTTGCATACACAGCCCTAACCAACATTTAGATTAGAAAATATCTAATAATTATCTAAAAACTTTATCTACATTACAGTTTACATATGTCAATGTATTATTTCAAATTCTGTCTGTCAAAAAGCCTAGGAATGACAGTTATATGCAGAAAATTATATGTTTGGGAATCACAAAACAATCAAGAGAGAATAAAGGAAGATACCAAAACTTTTCTACTCTTTCTTCTAGGACAAGCAAAAATTCACAAAGTCAAGGTTAGCAAAATAAACAGGCATCTACTGTGTCCATTCACAGTACCTTCAATGGATTCACTTCTACAAAGATAATCAATGAAGTTTTTAAATTTTTTTTGGA